TTTCTTTCTTTCTTTCTTTCTTTCTTTCTTTCTTTCTTTTCTTTCTTTCTTTCTTTTTTCTTTCCTCTCTTTCTCCCCCCCCTCACATTCTACCCCCCCTTTCTTTCTCTCTAAATCTCTTTGCAATTATTGTCACTTCCCTGCGTCCCAAGTGAGGCTAGACACCAGGTTCCGTATTCTGCATGCTGAGTGGAAAAACTACAGAGCTCAGAACGCAGCATTTGCGCAACATTAAGTTCAAAGGAAAGCACCGGGGAATTTTAGCAATCATCCTGCTCGCTAGATTGTCAAAACAAGCTAGATTAGAGATTATCCACTGGAGTAATTGCCAGGAGCCTAAGAACGTGTCTCTCAAGGTTGGCAACTTTTAAGACACGTGGACTTCGACTCCCACCCAGCATTTTATTTTTCCTTCAGGGAAGGGCCTGCTGCAAAGCAAAGGGCCAGCTTCCCATCCTCTTTCTCTTTCTCTAGGATGCAGCTGACCAGTGTCAGAAAACACAGTGGTGAAATGGTTGCAACCTAAGAACCCGTCCTAACCAGAGAAGATCAAGATAGCTCGGGCTAGGGGTACAGGCAGTCCTCGACTTACATTCATTTGCTTAGCAAATATTTGAAACTGCAACAGCACCAAAAAAAGTCACATACAACCGGTCCTCATATTACAACCGTCACATCACCCCCAAGGTCAAGTGATCAAAATTTGAGTGCCCGGAAACTAGCATATATTTTACCAAGGGTGGCAGCGTCCCGGGGTCATGGGATCATTATTTGCAATTTTCCAAGCCATCAACAAGCAGATGGTGGATTTGCTTAACAATTCCCAGATTCACTTAGCAACTGCAGTGATTTACTTAACAGCAGTGACCAAAAAAGGTTATAAAAGCAGGTGAGACTCACCTAACCATCTTACTTAGCAATGAAAATTCTGGGCCCCGTTGTGATCAGTAGCTGAGGACTACCTATAGGAGAGTTTGTCTCATTTTTATTCCAGGGAGGTGATGACGTGTGTGTTACCATGAAGTTTGCTTTATTGAAATGCTCTGGATCACCTTGAAATCTAGCCTCAGTGGTGGGATTCAAAGAATGTAACCACCGGTTCTCTGCCCTAATGATTTCTTCCAACAACCAGTTCACCAAATGGCTCAGAAAGTTAACAACCGGTTCTCCAGAACTGGTGAGAACCGGCTGAATCCCACCATTGCTCTAGCAGTTCCATTAGCCAAGAAAGGATTGTTCAGAAACCAGTGATTCGGGCAGCTGATTTAACTTGGAAAATCTCCTGCTACTAGAATAGACAGAAAGAGCTACAAAATAAGGGAATGTGAGGCAATGTGATTGCTTGGCTTTGCATTTAGAAGTTAGAAGCAAAGTTGATGGGTCGCATTGTTCCTGAAACAGTTTGCAAAATATGCTTCACCTGAACTTTTCTTGAAGCCTCTCAACTGAAAATTGAATGTTCACAGAGATTCATGGACACCATTCTAATAAGACACTTTCATTTCAGCTACTCAGAGATCTTAACAAAGAAACTACTATAAAACCCAGAATTCAAGCAGATCCCAGGTTCAAATTCAACTCCTTTTTATCTACCCTTACATCATGAAGTTCTGCAAGTAGCTTTTTTCTCATATGGAGATGCAAAGGGTGCATCTGTACTGTTAGGGATCTCCCTGGTCTCAGCCCCTTTGCTTCTGTCTTGGCCATCTCTTGTCTTCAGACACCTCTTCAAAGCATTGCACAGCCCGAAACGGGAGAGCTTGGGACACTGGAAGGTGGTGAGCAAACTCACCAGTTTCCTTCTGATAATTGGTTATTGCTTGATTGGTTGGGTCAACCATATAATAGTTTTCCAAGAAATAATTGCTTCTCCTCCTCCTCCTCCTCCTCCTCCTCCTCCTCCTCCTCCTCCTCATTCATTCATTCATTCATTCACTCATTCATTCTCTGTCTCTTTCTCTGCCTCTCTCCTCTCTGTCTCTCTCTCTCCCCCTCCTGCCTTCCCTCCCTCCTCCTCCTCTTTCTTCAGTAATTATCTTGTGAGGTCACCTGTTACGTCTGCACAAAAAAAATCAGCTCTGTTGACCCACAAAACAGTTTCAATTATTATCAGGAACAGAAAAAGGTTCCCAGCACTCCGGATTTTTGAATCTGTGTCTAATCCAACCTCCAAACTATTCCTCAGACAACATTGTTCTGCATTTCTGACAGCTTCCCCAGTTCCATTTTGAAAGAATCAAATCGTGGAACTCAACATTTCCCCGAGGGGGCCTCCCTATGGCTTAGAAAAAGCTGGTTAATAGGGTTCACGGTCTTCTGACACTGTAATTAGATTTTGGGTTTATAAATAATACAAATGCTTTTCTATTGCCCTGTGCTTCAAAATATCGAAGATGACCTCCAAAGGATACTGGCAGATGGATTTCTCATAAAGCCTAATTTTTTACATGTGGGAGATGAGGTAGCAATTAAAACTGTCCAATAGACTCTCTATTGAATAGAGATGGGAACCTCAAAATTCCTTCTCCACAATCCCCCAACTCTGTTCAATGTCATCATTGCCAACAATACGAAAATGAAAGTGTAAGCTCTAAAACCAGCTTTTCTTTAAAAAGCAAAAGAAATGGTTCGAATGTACTATGTCAGAAGGAGAAAGGAGGAGGAAGGCTTGCATTACAAAATGGCCAGGGTCTTCGTGAAAATGCGAAGAGCGAACATAAGAAGAACTTTGCCACTTTGGGCCATAATCTCACCTCCATCACTGCATCTTCCTGAATCACTCAAGTAGAGCTTGAGTGCAATTGTCCTCTTCTGCCCCCTTCTGTTAGAATTATAGAACAATCCATAATGGTATCTCGGTAATGTTTTTGGTTCAATACTGTCACTTAGTGGAAAATAACCTGTACTATTCTTTTTTTAAAAAACAAAACACATTTCATCTCACAAGCACTAATGCTTAACATTAAAATAGACATTATAATTTAACGGCTGTCAAAATAGCTCTCAAGGCAGCAGTTTTAGCCCAGCTTGACATCATCCCAACAGAGAAAGGCACACATGAATTTTTAAAAATCTGTGACTTTTCAGATGAATTCAAGCAATTAATTTTGCCATTTATTCATCCATTTATTAATATTGTGCTGGTGATATCGCAGCACTATTTCATATTCTCCCAGATTAAACTGAACTATGCTGAAACATGCAAAATCATTTTCATGAAAATCTGTTGTTCTAAATTGACTTAATGATAGAATATAAATTATACATATCTTTAAAATAAATCTGATTTTGTTTCAGAATTCCAGAGAGGAGAAAAATGTTTGTATTTAATGTGGTGAGCTTGCTCTTAAAATTGCATTTGCCTTTACCTAGAGAATTAAAAATGCTCCCACTAGTAATAATTAAATTCATATTTGCATTTCCCAATCTTATTAAACAAAAGTGATATTGATTAAAACACTCTTATGGTACAAGATGAACTCTCAAATATGGCATTGTTCAACCTTGGCAACTTTAAGATGTTTGGATTTGAACTCCCAGAATTCCCCTGATGGGACAAGTCTAGTTTGGCAGATTTCTGTCTGTAGAGATGAGGAAGAATAAAGAAAGAAAGAAAGAACAGCTCCCATCCAGAAGTCATGGGTGCTCCATCACTGGAGGTTTTCAAGAAGACCCTGGACAACCATTTATCCAGAATTGTCTGGGATCTCCTGTGGAGCAGGGGTTGGATAAGAAGAACTTGAAGGTCTCTTCCAACTCTGTTATTCTGCACCCTACAAATCTGTTTAGAACAACCACTTTTCTTTGCTTTTCTTGGGTTTTAGAGACTGACAAAAACAGATGAAAATGGTAGCTCAGTCCAAACATAGGAATATCACAGTTAAAAGACCAAAGAATTTTAGAATTCCTCCTAAAACACCCCTCTCCTGATGAGAGCAGTGGGGTTTCAATCATTCCATGGTGGTGGATAGCAATCTCTTTATTAAATGTGCCCTTTGGTTAACCTCAGTGTTGCAAACTTCTACTTTAGAGCAATGGAGCTTGATCTTCAAAAAAGCAACCCCACAAGAATAAAGCTTGATTCTTGCCAGCCATCCACCAGGAGAATGAGAATTTTTTTTGTCCATTTTAGTTGGTCAATGTTAATGTAAAATTGGTGGACTTGTTAATGTTAAGATGGTGGACTTCAACTCCCAAAATTCCCCCAGCCAGCATGCTGGCTGGGGGAATTCTGAGAGTTAAAGTCCACACTTCTTAAGACTCCCCAAATTGGGAAACTCTGTTTAGCTACTGCATTATTTTTCACACACACCATCAAATTCATTCAAGCAAACCATCACACGCTGGTGTTCCAATTCTTAGAAGTGTCTTTCTTTCTTTTTTCGTTATCCAGTTACAGTACTTGGTAACCCTGGGCAGTTCAGCGTTGATCTTCTGTTACACTTGGTGTTTGAGGTAGTTGAGCAGCACTAGTGGGATGTCCAGTTGATCCACAGCTTCGGGATGGTTCTCCAGTTTCATAAACCTTCTGATTGCTAGTCTGCATTGAGACATCAAGGATTTGGGCAACGCTGGTCCAGCAGGAAGGAACGGGGAGGAGAGAGAGGCAGTAATCATCATTGCATAGTTAACACTGCTAAAGATTTCACACCCTGTAATGCCTTCAAGGTCATTATATGAACAGAAATGAAGAACAAAGAACCACACATGCTTTGTGTTTTGGGCCTGTGCCCAGCTTGAAATCTAGCTGTTCTGTTCTGGACATGGATTGAAATTGTGCTGTTCCAGGCAGAATTGGTTTCTTGGGGGGGAAATATGTGAAATAATCAAAGATACTGGGAATGAAAGAGGAGGGGAAGAAGGATCACCTTGGAGAACATTGGAAGATCTAGGATGAGCTGCAGAGGGCGAAAAGGAAGAAAATGTGTACCCCCTTATTCTACCAACCCTTAAAATTCACTCCAGGACCCCTAGAAACCCATTCACCTGGAACTCAGAGCAACCAATGTTCATTGTGTCTATGGAGATTCTCCATCATTCAGGTCATGGTTGTCCCAAAGGTGCTTTTATAGAAGTCAAGCGGACTTTCTTGCTTTTTTTTTCTTTGAAAATGTTTTTCTTTGCATCCAAAAAGTTTGTTCAGAACATTTTCAAGGAAAAAAGTAAGAAAATCCAGTTGCCTTTTGAAAAAAAAAACCTATTTGGGCGACCATGACTTGGATGATGGAGAATCTCTATAGATACTCAACTTAATGACTTTGCTTAAGAAAAATCTACAGACATTCTCAGTTATCTAGGTCATGGCTGTCCCAAAGGTGCTTTTTCAAAAGGTAACTGGACTTACTTGTTTTTTTTCCTTGAAAATGTTTTGCTTCTCATCCAAGAAACAGAAGAAGCTTCTTGGATGAGAAGTGAAACGTTTTCAAGAAAAAAAGCAAGAACGTCTGGTTGCCTTTTGAAAAAGCACCTTTGGGACAAACGTTCATAATTATGTTACTCCTGAGTTGTGACTGATGCAAAACCGTTCTGCAAAATTTCTAGAAACAGATGATCATTTTCCATCCAGGCTATAAAGAAAACCAATTTTTCATTTTGTGTGCCACCCATACAGAAAAGTATGGAAAGGTATAAGGAATGCTGTTGTTGTGAATGTAGATTTAGCTATATGTGTATGTCTGTCTGGTTTTTTTTATCTTTGCTTGTGACTTAAACTGCTTTGGGTGACTCTTTTGTATTCATTTTATGCACCTTGCGTAGCCTTCTCAGAAACAAATAATGTCATAGGTAATGTATGGAAAGAGGAAGGAAGGGAGAAGAGAAAGGGAGAAGGAGGGAGATTTTAAGAAATCGAATAGACTTCTGTTACATTAAATTAAAAAAAAAGTTACCTCTTTCTCTGGCCAACAGCTCAAGCACTTCAGGGTTTGCTGAGCTCTTCTCCAATATGATGCCAGGCAAGTAGACATTGGCACCAAAATCAATGAGGAGCTTGACAAACTCTGCCCTGCAACAGTGCTTCAAGCAGACTTCCAGGAGAGTCTTGGGGTATTTAATTCGGGTGATCATGTTCCTATCCAAGCAGTTGTAGTTGGGCTCAGCCCCGTACAACAAGAGGGTCTTGAAGCACTCCAGATGACCATAGACGGCAGACAAATACAAAGGTCCACAGCAGGCCACGGAGTTGGCCGCCCACTCTGGGATTCGAGGTTTGACGTTAGGGTCTGCCCCGTGTGACAACAACTCCTGCAGGATCCCCAGGGCTCCTTCCCTCGCAGCCGTGAGCAGAGGGGTGCAGTTGTTGTGAATGCTCCCAGAAGGACAGGCCCCCGCCTCCAAGAGGACCTTCACACAGTCAAGGTGCCCATTGTTGACGGCAACAAACAGTGGGGTCTGGGCCTTGACATCCAAGCTGTCCACTTCAGCGCCGTGGTCCAGAAGCACCTCGATGCACCTGACGTGGCCCTTGGAGGCCGCTAGGCGCAGGGGAGTGCCTGGCACCCCCCAACCACTCCGACTGTTGATGACCTGTTTGTATCGCTCTTGGTGCAACAGTTGGTCCAAAAGCTGGTAGCTGTCCTGGGACACGGCAAGACTCAGCTCTTGTCTTTCTCTGTCCCCATCTTCATCTTCGCTGGGCTGGAAGAGGGAGAATATCTTGGTGATATCCAGCAGGCTCATCTTGAATTGTCTCTTGAAGGGGACTTTCATCCTGAATGGTGCTGTGCTGGAAGCTAGAAGTCAGACAGATGGTGGGTTAATGATTTGGATGAAAGCACAGTATTTGCAACCTTTGTCTCTTACTGAGACACAGCTGGACCACAAGTACCAAATCCAACACACACTATTTACATGCAAACACAATGCAGTTTCTAGGGTCTGGATGAATAAATCAATGTATTTCAGGGGGCTTCACTAGCATATCCCTATAAAGTAAAGAAAAAACCGGAGTTGTGTCCTTCCTGGTTAAGGTTGGGACTCTTCATACAGATTGGTAGGGGGAGGGATCAGTCACATTGCAGAATTTCTCAACCTTGGCAACTTTAAGACATGAGGACTTCAACTCCCAGAATTCCCAGCCAGCTGTGCAACAAAGATAACAGGGGGCCAGAGGCTAAAATATATGAAAACCAGTTGCATGTGTGTGTAATTTAACCAAAAGGAGGACTATGAGTGACATGTTTGATTGGGGTGTAATTCTTTTTGCCTGGGGAAAGATCCATTTCTTGGGATGGGATGGGAGGAGGAGCATCTGAGGGTACTGATAGTCCTGCACTTGCAACCATTTATTTAGCGACCATCTGAAGTTGTAAAAGCAGTGAAAAACATGACTTCTAACCAGTCCTTAAACCGTTGCAGTGTCCCCCAAAAGACTGGTGCCGGTTGCAACATCCCAGAGTCGCATGATCACCATTTGTAACCTTCCCAGGTGGCTTCTGACAAGCAAGTCAATGGGGGAAATTGGATTCACTTAAAAAACATGTACTTCCTTTAATGGCTGTGGGGATTTGCTTAATGACCATGGCAAAAAAGATCATAAAACCAGGCATAATTCACTTAACCACCTTAGCAATGGAAATTCTGGTCCCAATTGTGGTTGTAAGGACAACCTATGCCAGGAAAAACATCCAAGGATGTCCTGAGCAATAAAATAAAATAAAATATGCTTCAATCTCTCTGGGAGCAACAGAGGAATCTTAGACAAGAAAAACCAAACATACAAGTACAGATTAAGTGAGACCTGGCCCAAAAGCAGTAACTGGGAGAGGGATCTTGGAGTCCTAGTGGACAATCACTTAAATATGCGGCAGCAGCCAAAAAAGCCAATGCAATCCTAGGCTGCACTAACAGAGGGAGAGAATCAAGATCATGTGAAGTGTTACTACCACTTTATAAAACTTTAGCAAGACCGCACTTGGAACACTGCATCCAGTTTTAGTCACCCTGTTATAAAAAAGGAGTGTAGGGAAGAGCAACTAAGATGATTAAGGGCCTGGAGACTAAAACATATGAAGAATACTTGCAAGAATGTCTAGTCTAGTGAAGAGAAGGACTAGGGAAGACATGACAGCAGTGTTCCAATATTTGAGGGCCTGCCACAAATGTTCTCCAAAGCACCAGAAGGCAGGACAAGAAGCAACGGATGGAAACTGATCAAGGAGAAAACCAACCTAGAACTAGGGAGAAACTTCCCAACAGTGAGAGCAATTAACCAGTGGAACGGCTTGCCTCCAGAAGTTGTGGGGGCTCCATCACGGGAGGCTTTTAAGAAGAGACTAGACAGCCACTTGTCTGGAATGGCATAGGGCCTCCTGCTTGAGCAGGGGGATGGACTAGAAGACCCCCAAGGTCCCTTCCAATTTTATTATTTGTATTCTTCTGTATCTCATTTTGGGTAGCTCCAGCGATTCTGACACATTTTACGAGCTATTCAATATTCTCAGCTAAAGATACTAGCTAGGATGAAAATTTCTGATAAACAAATTCCTGTTCATCCACAAAGATCTCTCATGGTTTTGGGAAATTGATAGTTCTCAAAAGCGCAGCGCAGAAAATCCAGGCACGCTATTTCCTAACTGAACAGCAAAATACAGGTGAGGATTTTATTTCCAGGCTCGTATTTCAACGTCAGAATTTTTGAAATGTAATCACTTCATCTGTGGGTTCAGCAAGTAAAATGTGTTTAATACTTTAGAACTGGATTCTGAACAGTTTTACTCCTGTCTAATTTAGCAATGTTTCCATACCTGGGGCCTCTATGTGTGCACCTGTATGAATTGGAGGTGCATAACTTACCATTTTTTTTGTTTTTACATTTTCTTCTTCTTTAAAATACATAAGTACTTAATAAACAGTGTATTGTTGGGATCAATTTGTTTATACAAAGTATTAATAACTATCCAATGTTTTTCTAATTATACTTTCATCTGTAGGCGTATCCACATTTTTCCAATATTCTGCAGATATAATTTTGGCTGCTGTCAATACATGTATTATTAAACATGTAGTCCCTTTGTTGGAATTTTCTGATAGTAGACCTAACAAAAATATTTCTGGTTTTAAGACTGTATGTTGCTTTATCATTTTCTCTAACCATGTATGTATTTTCCTCCATATTTTTTTGGTTTTGGACAAGGCCACCACATGTGAAAGTAGGAACCTGGTATCTGATTACATTTTCAACATTTCACGGACATGTTCAAAGATGTTTATCTTTGCTAGTCTTGCTGGTGGCAAATGCCACCTATAAAATATTTTACACAAATTTTCCTTATAAGAGGTTGCCATTGTCAATTTCTAATTTCTATCCCAAAGTTTTTGCCATTTATCTAATTCTATGTTACATCCAAAGTTTTTTGCCCATGCTATCATTGTTTCTTTCACCTGTTCATCTTCCATTTTAATACTTAACAGATAGCTATATATTTTATTTATTAATTTTTCACCCTAAAAATATCTGATCCAGTGCAGTTGGCTCTTTATAATATCCATGTATTTTGCATCTTTCATATATCTTGATTGCATTTGCAAGTATTGCCACCATGCTAAGTCTACATGTTGATTTTGCACTTCCTGTGTCGCTTTGAGTTCCCCATCATCATTTAAAATGTCTTTATAAGTTACAACTTTTGCCAAGTTAATAACATTTGGATGTATCAATGTTTCTGTCAGATCCGTGTATCTGTCATTTCTTCGGTGGAAGAAGAAAAAAGGGGGAAGGAGACTGATAAAGAAATCCTTTCTTGATGTAACCTGAATATATTTAATCTTATATTGAATTTGCATAACCCACACATGATACAATGGAGGGAGGAAACCCAGATGGCCGGAACCTATCGCCTCTGCACAGCCAGGAGATGAGAAGACCATAAAAACTCCACAGTGAGATATGTCCTGGGAATCTCTGGAAAAAGTTCGTTCTAAAAAGGGGGTTGGGGAAAATTAGGTATGTCCTGGGAAACTGTGAGAAAGATCGTTCCTACAGAAGGGGTGGGAGGGGAATTAACATACTGGCTTTTGTTTCACTAAATACACATCGAGATAAGGGGAGGGGTTCTAAACTCCCTTATCTCTCCCTGTATGCCTGAGAGACCTTAGATGCTGTTTTGAACTTCTACATGAATTGTCTCATCTCAATAAAGGATTCCTTTTGATACATTTGGTTTTCAGAAGTTCATTCTTATTAATTGAATGGGAAAAAATTGAATAGCCTGACATTTTCCATTGTAGAAAGTCAGACTGGTATTTTCCTATAGTTTTTTTGTTTTGACTTTTTCCCCTACTAAAAGTAATGCATTTCCTACATAATGTCTTTGGAAATATTTTATTCTTATCATACCACAATAATACATGCCACTCCAATTGAAGATCATGTCCCTCCAATAGTAATAATCTTCTATGTCTCAGATTTACTTGAAATTCTAGAACTAGAAAACCTTGAATTACGCCGTCTTCGGTCTGACTTAAGCATGGTATATAAAATCATACATTGCAATGTCCTACCTGTCAACGAATACTTCAGCTTCAACCATAACAACACAAGAGCACACAATAGATACAAACTCAAAGTAAACCGCACCAAACTTGATTGCAGGAAATACGACTTCAGCAAGAGAGTGGTCAATGTCTGGAATACTCTACCCGACTCTGTAGTCTCTTCCCCAAACCCCAAAAACTTTAACCTTAGACTGTCTACTATTGACCTCACCCCTTTCCTAAGAGGTCTGTAGGGGGAGTGCATAAGCGCACCAACGTGCCTACCGTCCCTGTCCTATTGTTTCTCTTATTCTTCTTTTATTTTTCTTATATGTACCCATTTCATGTATTCACAACTGTGTATACACTTATACTTATTATCTTGTAAACAATTGGCAAATCAAATAAATAAATAAATAAATTTACCCACTCTTTCAGCCAAGTAAGTGCAGATGCCTAATAATAAATCTGCTGACCCCAAACCCCCATTGGTTTTAGATTCTTGCAGCATTTTCAATCTTAACTTTATAGGAATTGTTTGAAACACAAAGAGTAGTTTTGGCAATATATTTTTATAGTATCTATTCTTCCTATCATGGATAGCTGCAGGTTCTTCAATTTCTCCAAATCCTGCTTAATTCGCTGCATTAATTTTGTATAATTATCTTCTTTAACTGTTGCACATCCTGCTGTTAAATAAATTCCTAGCTATTTTACTTTCTTACCCACCTGAAGGTTTGCTTTCTTAACCATCTCATTTTTCTGTTTTTCTGTAAATTTTTGAATTAGTATTTTAGTTTTTTCTTTCTTTATTTTCAATCCTGCCACTTCTCCATATTCTTCTATTTTTCTTATTAGTTTGGGACCAGTTTCTAGTGGTTCTTCTAAGATAAATATCAGATCATCTGCAAGCACTTGTAATTTATATTTTTCTTTTTTAATTTCCATCCCTTTTATATCTGCATCTTGTCTAACATTTCTGTTTAGCACTTCTAATGTTAATATAAATAACAATGGGGATAGTGGACAGCCTTGTCTAGTACTCTTTCTTATACTGAAATTCTCCGTCAAGTCCCCATTAGCAATCATTTTTGCTGTTTGTTTGGAATATATTGTCTGAATCATATTTATAAATTTCCCCCAAAATTCATGCATTGATATATCATAAATTGCCAATTTAAATTATCAAATGCTTTTTGTGCACCTAAAAAAATCAATGCCATTTGTTTTTCTGAGTGCACTTCATAATACTCCAACGTATCTAAAATAATTCTCACATTATTTTCAATCTGTCTTTTGGGTAAAAGTCCATTTTGATCTAAATGCATAAATTCATTCCAATATCTTTTAAGTCTTTCCACTATTACTGAAGCCACGACTCACCATTTCTGTGGCATGACGGGACTACGTGGTCCAAGACTGCATGGTCACGGGGCACAAGAGGAAGCAGGGAAAGGTTTGAAAGAAGAAGGAGAGTTGAAGGCAAGGAGTGGCTGGGAGTCTCTGGCTGGGAAGATGGTAACCACACCAAGCCTCCAGGGTTAGAATGCATTTGCTTATTATGCTAATGGTGCTTTGTCTAGTCATGGGTTTGCTGAATCCGGGTAGTCCTTGACTTGCCCAAGTATTTCTGTTGCTAAGTGAGACATTTGTTAAGTAAATTTTGCCTCAGTTTACCACCTTACTTGCCACCGTAGGAAAAGGAGAATTATGACCCATTTTCCCAGCGGCAACCTTTGCAGCATCCCCAGGGACCTGCGACCCAAATGCAGATGTTTGGCCATCGACTGGTATTCATGATGGCTGCAGTGTCCCAGGGTCACGGGATTCCCTTTTGCGACCTTCCCACCAGCAAAGTCAGTGGGGAAACCAGAGTCACTTAACAATTGGGATACTAATTTAACACCTGCAGCGATTCACTTAACAACTGTGGCTTGAAAGGTCGTAAAAGAGGAAAAATTCACTTGTGTTTCAGCAACAGAAATTTTGGGCCCAATTGTGGTCATAAGTCAAGGAGCACCTGTAGTAACATGGTTTTTTCAGCAGGGGTGGGATTCAAACAGTGTTACTACCGGTTCAGTGACGTTTGCGCGCACATGCGTGTAAAAAAACCGTAAGCTGTGCCACCAAAAGAGCTGACAAACATTGTGGGCTGTTGTGCAGCGTTTGAAACCCCTCTTCTTTCCTGCTTTTTCAACCTCAGCTGTGCCGCGCAAAGCAGCCGAGGTTGAAAAAGCAGGAAATAAAGGACAGGGAAGAGCCCAGGCGGGCGGGTGGGCCAAACAGCAGCAAACACAGAACCGGTTCTGTGTCTGCTGCTCTTCAGAGCTACCGGTCCCACCCCGGTTGTTAAGTGAGTCTGCCTTCCCCATTGATTTGGCTAGTCAGGAGGTCACAAAGAGATCACATGAGCCCAGGATGCTGCAACGGTCATAAAAATGAACCAGATGCCAAGCATCTGGATTTTGATCATGGGGATGCTGGAATGGTCGTAAAGGTGAAAAATGGTCCCAAGTCATTTTTGTCAGTGCTATTGTAACTTTGAACAGGCTACCTGTAAGGGGGCCTGCATAGGGCCTTATGCTGAAAGCTGTCCCTTGCAGACCACAAAGGCCGGTCTCCATGCCAACTGCTCCACCTTACCCTAAGGAAGGGCATGAGACCACCTTCATGCAGGGGCAGGGGCTGTGGGACCATTTTCCGTTCAACAGGTGCAGCACAGAATCCCGAACTGGCTGAAAAACCTCACACCTGCTATTTCCGGGGGCTGCTTTGCAAGGCTCCCTAAACCAAGCAGACTGACCACTTCGCCAAACTTAAGAGGGAAAAGGAAATCCCGTCCAGAGAATCCCACCTCCTGCAACAAAGGCCTTCACACCAGGTGAAACTGGGCTGGCATTGCCTTTCATGGACAGTTCGGGCAGAACTCAGACTTCTGGCTAATCTTAGGATCCCACCTATTTGGGTGAAGGTAATGGGATAACGCCAACTCCAGGTTAAGAATGTGAGCAGCCCAAGATTTGCACGTTGGGCTGCCACCACTTGAGCCAGGCTGCTGCTCCCCTGGTTCAACTGCAGTCCCTTTGGGGTCCCCTCAAGCCCCCTGCCCAGCCCTTCCCTCGCTCCACGGGTCAGGGAGCCCCGGCCACACCCAGCTGGGAACCTGGCCGGGCGCGTGTGAACCGGCCGCGCCCGTCCCGCGCCCTCCAGGCCCGCAGCCCGCCCGCCCGGCAGCAAGGCGATACTCACGAGCTGGTGGCCGTCGGACAGGTTGCCGTGTCGCCCGACGGAGCGTCGCCGGAGCCCCCGCCGGCCGGCCCGGCTGTGTCGCAGCAGCCCGGCCTCTGTGAGGTGGCCGGGACCGCCTGGCCCGAGCGCTCGCCTGTCCCCGCGGAGAGCCGAGAGCCGTCGAGGGGGGCCAGGCCAGGCGACCCAAGACGGGACGGGACAGCTGCGCCGGGAGCGCCGCGCTAATTTTAGCCCCGCCGGCTGGGCAGCTTCCATTCTGGGAGACACCCCCCCCCCCGTCGCCCCCCGGAGAAGGGCCGGACCAGGCCGGGACTGCGGACGGAGGAAAGCAGCCCCGCGTCCCGGCTTCTCCAAGGCTCCAGGCTTCCGCGCGGGGCAGGTTGGCCGGGCGGGGGGGTCTCAGGTTAGGCAGCTCAGTCCGGGCTTGCCCCGCTCCGCTTTTTAAGACGGCCGTCAAGGCAAGGCGGAAAGGGAGAGAGAGACGCCGGAGGGAGGCCGCGCGGCCTCTCTTGCCTGGTGTTCTTCGAGCCGCGGGACTAGGAGCTGGTTGAGGTGTCGGCCATTCAACGGGACCACCCAAGGGAGAAAGTGGGCGGGGGGAGGGG